TGATTACGGCACTCCTTGCTTCAAGATATGCATCCCTAGCTCTATCCTCAAAGCCGAGCCTGGAAACCCAGTGGACGTGAGTCTTCGCCGACGTCAACCACGAATGATTCTCGACCAATTGGCGTATCAGTACTGTTGCAAGTTTCGCGGCTCTTTCGTTGACTTTGAAAGTGAGAAGGTTCTGAGCAACGGCATTGCTTTTAATGTTCTTTGCCAATGACTTCAGCTTCTCCACTCTAGACACAGCCTTTTCAAAGCGTTGGAGAGCAATGTCGATGTCCAGATCATCCAGCTGGCTTTCCACCCATCGAATGCTCTGTTGCTTCCCATCCACATCCACAAACATACTCGACCTATGATTCACTGTGTTCTCGGACAAACTCTCTAAAAGATCGGCCTTCTTTAGAATGCTCAGATCCCTGGTGGCAAAATAGTTGACAGAGTCTTGCTGCTTTCCTCGCTCTTCAGTCTCGACCTCCATAGTCCTTCGAAGGTCCTCCAAGGTTTTGCGGTAGGTAGAAAGTAGCGTGTTCTTCTCGCTTACATCAGAGCCGTACACAGCAAAGGTATACGATTCTGTGCCGACACGAATATTAATTGCATCCGTTGTTCCCTTTCCTTCACGTTCACGACCTCCAGGAGCAGACCGAGAAGACAAGTCTGCCAGCTGAACATCCTGAAGAGGCCAACACCGTTGCGCGACTAGTTGTGTCTGGATTTGATTCTTCTTCTGCTTTACGTCTCGCGGATTTTGCCCTGCCATATCCGCTCTCTTCTTCTCCGAGGCCACTAGAAAGTGGTCATTAAGCAAGATCAAGTGGATCCGCCGCCTGATCTTCCAAGTAGCAGCGTTCAATTCTACCCATTTCCCGGATTCGTGGATTATGTGCCGCCCAGGTATTGCGGGCAAATACTTCTGCGATCCTTCGACGCGTTTCCATAAAGTTTGAAGATGCGAGTTCCACAGAGCCTCCAGATTGGCAACGGAGCTCCTATTGGCCTGCTTTCTTGCGGTAATGGCATCCCCTCCCAATCCAGATGCAGATGTAGTCTGTCCCAACGTGCTTGTCAGCTCAGACATCAAGGTCCTAAGCATCCGCATTTCGCCCTTCAGCTTCTCTGCCTCTTTACTAATCTTGATGAACTGGGTTCGATTCTGATACACATTGTGCTGGAGGTCGGTCGAGGTGCGGTTCTTCAATTTACGTAGTTTGTCCTGGTAATCTCGAATGTCCTGTTCTGAAGCATCTGAGAGCAACGTGGCAACATCTACGGATAGTCAGTAGACGGAGCGTGCAAACAATAATAGCCACCTACACTGCTCAGGGCGCAAGTTTGGATCCCTCAGTGCCTTCTCGTCGACCTTCACCCGCTGCCCATCAGAGCTTCCAGGAGGCCTCCCATCCCTTGATGGCGGCTGGCTTGCATACTGGCCTGGTATCCCAGGCATTGTGGGCAGTGGCGGAGCTCCTGCGCCAAAATCTGTAGGCAGATTGGTGAACCGCGTTGAGTACCTCCTCTTCACCAAATCCGCCGTCTTCTCGCCCTGCGGTGGACGCTGGCGGGGCGCGTCCAATTTCCTAGGCCCAGAGCCATCGCTCGGTCGCAGGCGCTCTGCTCCTATGCCTGAAGAGAGGGTTCCGGCGGCCAGTCCTGTAGGCATGGGTGCGCTGATCTGCTTCGGGGCGCTGATTTTGGGGCGTACGGAGCGCTTCTTGCGGAGGGAAATCCCCTTGCTCTTTTCCTCTGACATCTTGCCGGCAAGATATTTGTCTTGATTTGGTGTGGGATAGTGTCGCAATTGCGAAGGTTGTAGAGAGTCGTCGGCAATCACCTCGACGTTGTCGAAGCCACCACCAAGGGCGACTGATGACGCTCGGACTCCTGAACGTCGAACCTCTTTTTTTGTGACCTCCCCAACCCACGAGACCGTCACCCATCACCCCCATCAGTTCTTCCTCTCCGCCGCAAGCGCCTGATATTTTCATATAATTCCTCGTCTTCTTCTGGTTCTCGAAAATCGCTTTTAGCATGTCTGCCCCCCTCAAATCCTCCACCATCGTTGCGGTGAGCGCCGGCGCAGTCGTCACCGGCCTGCTCGCATACGCCGTCTACTTCGACCACCGGAGGCGAACAGACCCAGATTTCAGGAAGGCGCTGAAGAGGGAATCAAAGAAGCAGGCCAAGGCCGCGAAAGAGGAGGCCCAGCTACAATCCGTGCAGCAGAAGAAGCTTGTTCGGCAAGCCGTGGACGCGGCGAACGAGGAGGGGTTCCCGACTGATGCGGAGGAGGTCGAGGCATACTTCATGCAAGAGGTTGCGCGTGGAGAGCAGCTATGCCAGGATGGTATGTTGCTGTATTCCTTGTGGCGCTTAGATTCAATTACTGATCTGCTTTATAGGCGCAGAAGCGATAGATGCAGCCTTGTGCTTCTATCGGGCCCTCAAGGTCTATCCTCAGCCAAGAGAGCTCATCACCATTTACGATAAGACTGTCCCCAAGGTAAGAATCTGTGGTATACGCTCATAATTGTTCTACACTAACGACTACAGCCGGTACTTGACGTCCTCGCCGAGATGATTGCAGTGGACTCTAGCATTCCCATTGGGAAACCTACTCCTACAGGCTCGGCAGGCTCTGCAGATGGAGAAACCGATTAGGCCGACACTTACTCTATTACTCGGTTCTCGTACAACGTCCCAAACGATACCGAATCACACCACTCGAAGTTACTCCCACCTCCCTTTCGTGTAACATCGTTGTACATATAAGTTCTTTGCTTTCTGGAGTCTGGGCCGGGGGAAGATGCTAGGCATCTGTTGTTTGAATAGACGAGGTGAGGGCGAGTTGTTGGCGAGGCTTGGCCGTCCTCAAAGTGAACCAGGGGCACATCAAAGCATGCAGAAACGGAAACTCGGACAGACGAAAAGCTACGAACCATTCAGCGGACTATAACCCCATTCGGTGGACAGTCTACACATTTACCGCAATATGCTTTACGAGAATAAACGTGTCCAATTCTAATGAATTTGCAACATCACTTCAGGGCATAGACTCTCAAAAGTAATGTCATCCATTGAGTTTACAATAGCGTAAGACGCGCGAAAGAGTCCATATACTACAAGTTTATGCAATCCCCGGACCTTGCTTCATGCCTTTCCCACCCTTCCAAAGACGCCATGCTACAAAATTTGGCCCCCAAGATCCATGGATGACTGGAAAAGAGACCCATGAGTTGATTACGCTAGTGTTTCTATGGTCGATTCGATAAAGGAGATAGCACGTCCATGCTTTCCGAAGTGTTCTAGCATGAGCAACCTTGGTTATCCGCTGGCTGGTTGGGATTGATATTTACGTCGATCACTATTGACGCTGTTAGACTCTGTGTTGCATACACACGGATATAAAGCGGCAGGACAAACGCCCAAAGCAGCTAGAGATACTCGTCGTTAAGAAAGCTAAACACTTACTTTGGCTCTGTCCCTGTTGCGCCTCACCCTCCATTCCAGGTAGCGCCTGTGCGATTCTCTTGAACAGTGTCTTCACGTTGTGGCCGACCTTTGCGCTCGTCTCAATGAACATGAGATTGTTCTTCTTCGCTTCCTCCTCTCCCTGTGCCGTGGTGACTTCGCGCTTATCATTCAGATCGGTCTTGTTGCCCACCAGCACGATTATGACGTCGTTGCCGCGCTCACCACGTACATCGTCAACCCATTTCCGTGTGTTCTCGAAGGTTTTCTTGTCTGTTTGTCCGGTCAGCTCCTATTTTCGAGAGAGCGGTTGTAGCACTGGGATCATACTTGTGACATCGTATACCACCACAGCAACGCTCGAATCGCGAATGTACGAGGGGATCAAACTACGGAAGCGCTCCTGGCCTGCAGTGTCCCAAAGCTGTAATCGTACGGTCCGGTCCTCGAGGTACATGGTCTATAATTGTGTTCTTAGCAGCTCGTTCTCTGACTCTACGCAAGTTCGTTATGTCCGCGCACCTTTGACAGAAAGTCTATGCCAATCGTGGCCTGGTATGTGTTGTCGAAGGAGTCGTACATGAACCGCGTGATAAGTGACGTCTTCCCAACTAATCTCACGGAGACGTATCAGCATGTGATTAAGACACAGACGAGTAGTAAACGGGAACTTCGTACCGCTCTGTTCTCCGAGGAACACCAGCCTATATAGAACGGCGTTAGCGAATGCGCCTCGAGCGTCCCTGAGTTCAGGATGACTGACTTGAACTTCTTCAAAGGGTTTGAATAACCGGATTGCGCCATTGTAGAGTTTGCCGGCGACGGATGGTAGAGAGCGAGGGTACGTTCAGCTTCCTTCGGGGTCGAAGGGCGGAAAGTTGGGTTGGGTGAAGGGGTCAAGGAGTCGCCGTCTATGGAGATTCTGGAAGCCTTAATGGATCACGGAGACGGCGGGCAGGGTTGGCCTGTTCGGCACGCCGTAGTGCCAAGAGACCCACTGGCTTGTTTGCGGAACTTCTCGATCCACGCCACGGCTATCATATGTTCCATCCACAGTCGCATTTCTTAATTCACTGGCATCAACGACGAGGCGCATATCAAATAGTCGCCCAATTAGTACACAGTAGGCTGGAGGCATCCGCAATCTTCGTAGTCATTCGTTAGACGCTCTTATCCTTCATTGCACTCTCTCTGAGCTCAGGCATTGCAGAATTTCGATACCTTCGTACATTATCGAGCTTAAGTTACTGTATTTCTACTGTCGTTATTGCAGCGAGTCAGGCAGGTTACTTGGTTCTATATAATCTCATCGCACATATACCTACCCATCAATTATACTTTCAGATGCAAGTCAGATACTCCTAAACGAGGCTCCATACCCCCTGTCTTCGTGAAAAGGTTAGCTTCCCGCCCCACCTCAGACAACCGAACCACCACTTCCACATCCGCGATTTTGAATGCCAACCTTTCAGAGGGCATTTTGAGTCTCCGCTATGAAGGAACTTATTCCTTGCCGCCCCCAATAGACAGGTTCCGTGGTGTAGTGGTTATCACGTCAGTCTAACACACTGAAGGTCCCCGGTTCGAGACCGGGCGGAATCACTTTTTGTTTGCAGTTTATTATTACTATTTAGTAGTAGAAAGCCTTCTTTTTTGATTACAACTACTGTATATAGCCTCTCCAGTGAATTGACTATCTCTGTGTATCACTTTTTGATTTAGTAGTTCGGTGGATCAAACACTCTTCGTTCATTTACCAAGTCTTACAGCAGACTTGCAACGGAAACTACACAAGAAACTGCTAGATAAAGCTGATCTAACCGTGCGTAAAGAAGCATTTGCAAGTTAAAGGACCGATATTGACGCAGTCCCCTGAGATCCACTTCGATACATACATAATGACTTCTTCGTTCTGTTCACAGAGAAAGCTCTCCGTTCCGTGCAATTGCACCTGAGCCATAAGGTGTAAAAGCCCTTGCAATCAACCACCTTCTACTAACTCTTGATTCGACGCTTGCCCGAAATCTTGGCACGCACGTGACCCCGAAAAATGGGCCAACCGCGGCAACCTCAAAATTTCTATCGATATTCCCTAACCACAAACACCCCGCAACCTCGACCAGCAAATCCTCCAATCCCCCCAGAATGGCGTCCTCAGTTGCCGCTCCGGCGCAGCACAAGCAACCATCTCGCAAAGGCAAAAAAGCATGGCGAAAGAACGTCGACACCACCGAAATTGAGCAAGGCCTCGACGATGTGCGAGATGAAGTGATTCTAGGGTAATTATCCCTTTTTAAGCCATCCGCACCCTCTGTCTCTCAATTCTAACCCATATCCAGCGGTGTAATATCCGAGAAGCCATCCTCCGAACTCTTCTCCCTTGACACGACCGGCTCCGCCGGAATCAAAAAAACCTACAAAACCGGCAAGCCCCTCAAAGCCGACGAGATCATCGCTGCGCGCTCTGCTGTCCCCGCTGTTTCTATGAGAAAGCGGCCAGCGTCGAGAACTACAGATGGGATCATTGCGTCCAAGGGTAAGAAGCCACGGATCAGCAATAAAGAGTATGACCGGCTGCGGGCGATTGCGTACGGTGGCGAGCAGGTGCAGAAGGATGTTGTGAGGCTAGAGGGTGCGACGCATGACCCCTGGGCTGCGGAAGAGAAAGCTCAGGATCCCAAGTTCTCGTTTCTGGAGGAGAAGAGGGCCAAGCGGGAGCCTGTTACGCTGAAGCGGGCGCCGGTTTCGCTGGTGGCGAGTGGGAAGGCGGTACCTGCGGTTACGAAGCCGGAGGCGGGGAAGAGCTATAATCCCAATTTTGAAGACTGGAAGGGTGTGCTGAAGAGGGAGGGCGATAAAGAGGTTGAGGCGGAGAAGAAGCGGCTTGAGAAGGCGGAATTCGACAGGGAAAGGCAGGAGAGGATTATGGCTATGGCAGCAGAGCCGGATCTGGTGTCTGATGACGGAGAAATTGCGTGGGAGAGTGAGTGGGAAGGCTTCCAAAGCGAGGTAGAGGAGGACTCGCTCAAAAAGAAGCGACCCGAGAGGAAAACGCAGCCAGAGAGGAACAAGATGAAGCGTAGGAAGGAGGCAGAGAGGCTTGCCCTGCATGAGGCGAAGTCAAAGGAGAGGGACCGACAACATGCCCAGATCAAGGCTGTGGCGAAAGCCGTGAAGGCGGAGGAGAAGGCAAAAGAGGCTACTCGTGCATTAGTGGTGGTGGGAGAAGATGACTCGTCCGACGAAGGCGATGAAGTTCTGAGACGGAAGTCATTGGGCAAGGCTCGGTATGTGTATTACAATATACTCAACTGCAGTTCTAACATCCGAACCAGAATTCCAGAAGCACCCCTGGAAGTTGTTTTGAGCGACGAGTTGCAAGACTCATTGCGACTCCTCAAGCCTGAGGGTAATCTGCTTAAGGACCGGTTCCGCAGCATGATGGTCAGAGGAAGGATTGAAAGTAGGAGGCCAATCGCTTTCCACAAACAGCGAAAGATGAAGGCGACCGAAAAGTGGTCGTACAAGGACTGGAAGCTTCCACAATACTGAACTTAGGCGGTGTTGCGTTACGAACATGCACTACGGTAGAGATTTCATAGTTGATCACAATACAACGACTTGTATTGAATGCTTGGTTTACATTGCATATGATTCTATGGCTTTGAGCCGTTTACCGCGAAGCGCTTCCGGGTATTCTAGGCTGCCCTAGCCTCAGCTTAGCTGACCTGGTGTACTCTATCTCCGAACTTATCGAACAGTGGCGCCCTTCAAGGTTACGACTGTACATAGACCAGCAGCAGTCTTCAGCTTGCTTAATCCAGTCTTTTTTGACTCGCCCTCGCCCGCCAATTGCGGCACCTCACCGACCTCGAACCCAACCTCCAAATCATCAGTAGTAGTGAATCCAGGCTGAATGGTCTCCCAGACCTTCTTCTTCGGGTTCAGCACAAGTTCAGGCTCGCCCTCCCATCCTTCGAAGTAGACTCTGTCTCCAGCCTTTGAATCAGCCGGGGGATTGACCAGCTCAACGGGGCCCTTGTGGCTGTCTTCGCCTTCGGCAACCCGCGGTGATGCTGCGAGAACCATGGCAGCAGACTTAATACCGCGCATAGTGACTGGCTTCAGGTTGCAGACGGCGACGATCTTACGATTTTGCATCTCTTCCAGCGGGATAAGCCCGTTCAGCCCAGAGCACACCGTTCGCACGATTTGTCCCTCGTACTCAGACGTATTGTCCGTTCCTGCTGGATCCCCACAAGCAATTGTGCTGACGAAGAGGCTGTCGGCATTAGGATGCGTCGTAGCCTTGAGGATATGTCCGACTCGCAAATCAATCAGACACGGGGAAAGTGGCTTCTCGACAGGCGCCGCTTTTGGCGGCTTAGGCTGCTTCACCTTCTTTTCCTTCTTATTGCCCCCCTCTGCAGCCACTGGTGTCTCCTTGCCCACCGCCGCGGCTACAGCCTCTCCCGCCTGGTGTACCTTGTCCTTCGCCTTCTCCTTCTTGCTCTTACGTCCACCCTGAGATTCTGCCTGCTCGCCCGTCAAAGTGGTAGCGGTAGCTCCACCGGCACCCACCGCTCCCGCGGCCGCAGCCTCCTTCTCTTTCTTCTTGCGCTCCTTCTCGGCCTTCGCGTCGATTGGCTTGATCTTGAAGAGGACTTCGTCCGTATCAATCGTGACCTTGTTGTCCAGCTTCAATCCGAAAACAGGTGCGTTCTGTACGAAGTCGACGAAGCGCACTATGTGATGGTATCCCTGCTCTCCAGTCCGCTCTTCCGCGCTCCACTTGCCAACAACGGGTGCCAGCTTCTCGTACAGAGCAACGTCGGCGACGGCCGGCTTGCTGCCCAGCAGGGTCGTGCGGGAGGACAAGTGCGTGTTCAGAGACGCGAGGCGCTCGTCCGTCTTCGCCTGGTCTTCGGTGGGGGAGGCAATGTGGCTGGCTGTAATGAGCCATTGGGTGATTTCAGCCTTTTCAGCGTCGGTGTAGTGGGCGGCGGGGAAGATGGCGCCAGAGACTTTGACGGGATCGGTGGATGAGACGTCTGCAGTAGGGAAGGAGGTTTTGAGCAGGGAGACAAGGCTGCCATCGAGACTGGAGGACGCCATAGTGCGTGTTTGTATTTGTTCGGGCTCTGGTGGGGGTGGTGGAGTTGGAGTTGGAGTGGCGGCGTTGACTGCAATCCGCGGGGGAAGAGTCTTGGTATGCTTGAGATGGGGCGGCAGGCGGGTTCAATTCTCCGGCACACTCTTGAGAAAGCTGTGTTTGGTCGTTGAAGAATGGCTCTGGGCAGTGTGTGTCTAGTGGGGAAGTGCAGCTGCATCCTGACTCACCAATGATTCTGAGGTCAAAATTTGTCGCAGTCACCAAGCGAGTTGCACGTCGAAGCACCCCTGCACTGCCCTTGGGGGTATTTATTTATACCCACGGACCACTAAGTGTAGATTTACCAGTTCGAAGAAGACATTCTTTTCTGATTGTACGCTAACTATTTGTTCTCTTGCCAAAGGGTGCCTGTGCTGATACGGTAGACGAAAACGCTCACGTTGCCAATGCAAGCAAATCTACCAGCTCTAACTGAGACTTTTCAAATGCAGACTGGCAGAATCCAGTCACAAGAGCCTCCTCACTTCTTGCGGGAGGCGGCCAGCTCCTCCAAGAACTCCTTGGGCGGGCTTTGGTTGTACCCGTTCGGGTTGTTCTTCGTCCACTTCCAAAGATCGCGACATGCATCCTCAAGAGTCAGCTCCGTCTTCCAGTTTAGCTCCTTGTTGGCAAGACTAGGGTTAGCTGTGAGATCCAGAACGTCGCCCGGACGACGTTCTACAACCTGATAGGGTAGATCGTGTCCGACAGCAGCGCTGAAGGCCTTGATCATATCGAACACGGTCGACCCTCTTCCACTGCCCAGGTTCCATGCTTTGACGCCGGGATGGTGCTCGCGTAGATAGTTAAGAGCAACCAGATGTCCCTTGGCCAGGTCTAGAACGTGGATGTAGTCTCGAATTGCAGTTCCGTCCTTCGATGAGTAGTCTAGATCGTTGTCAGATCATGAAGTTCATAAATGAGCATGACGGAACCTACCATCGCCGAAAACAAGGAGCTTTTCTCGTTTGCCAATGGCAACCTGGGCGAGGAGAGGAAGCAGGTTGTAAGGAATACCGAGAGGATCCTCGCCCATGATTCCACTAGGATGGGAACCGCAAGGGTTGAAGTAGCGGAGAAGGGCAGCATTCCATTCCTCACCAGATTTACCGGCCTTCTTAGCCTTGTTGCGCTGAGCTTCGATTTGATCGGTGATGATAGACTCCACCGTAGACTTGGTCCTTCCGTACGTATTGGTAGGACCGATGGGGCAAGTCTCTGGAATGGGGATCATATTAGGGAAGCGAGTAGCATCGCCATAAACAGTTGCCGAAGAAGAGAAGACGACGTTGGTGACATTGTGCTTCTCCATTGATCGCAGGAGGGCAACACTTCCACCAACATTGACACGATAATACTCCAGAGGGATCTCCGCAGACTCGCCAACGGCCTAGAAAAGTCAGCTAAACTTTCTATGGCTTTTCAAGGTCATCAGGAAACTCACCTTCAA